TTTCCCAGAACATTAACACTCACTACTCTGCCTCTGAACTGAGCTGAGGAGACAGAATTTGTGCTCCTGTGAGGAAAAATAAAGCACATTGCTCACGTATTAGGTATAATCCCTAAAGTTTTAGGTGCTCAGCCTCATATTTGGCAGATGGAGAGTGTTAAGTGGAAATGAAAGTGTGGTTGTTCCTTAGAGCCCTTTCGGGAGAGTACCGCAGGAGGGCAGTGTCTCTTCTGCTTTTGGTCCTGACTGCAGAGTTCCTGGAGCAACAGTTCTCGCTTCTTTTGGAAGGGGTATACAGTTGGTTGTCACTGGTATGTTGGGATAGACCGTGGCATCATTCCACAAGGCCTGCTTTGTGCATGTATCTCTTATCTGCAGTACTCTGATGACATCCCATCTGTTCATGGGGAAAGCATCCTCTGGGTACAGAATCCTTTCTAGACCTAGCACTTGCAGTATTCCCCAGGGAACAGCAGGACACTTTCAATTCCTTTTGGAACAATTGTTGAATGTCTCCTAATTTCCCTGCTTCAGGTTTCATCACCTAAAATCCCCCTAGTTAGTTTTAACTTAAGAATTGATCCTCCCTGGAGGACAGATCAAAAGGACTCTGGTCCTGGTCAGTGGGTGTAATAATTGGCTTCTTGTTGTTCAGCTGGGTGGTGTTAGTTCTTGACCTACAGTGTAAATTCTTCTTGTGGCCAAAGTTTTGGTCCTTGCCCCGGTAAAGGCAGAATGAATTTCCTTTCTGAGAAGTGAACTCATCTTTCTTAGTTAGGTTTTCAGGGAGGTTGGGAGAATTGGTGGTTTCTTTTACTGTGTTTCAGACTGCTGTGCTAAGCTTTACTGACTACCCTGGGCATTGACAGGACTAGCTGTGATCCTGGGGGATGGACAGGGATTTCATCCTGAGGTTCTGACCTCTCAAGGAAGAGGTAAAAGGGTTTTGTTCCACTATTCCAGTAGGCACATCTAGGTACACTCCAGCTCAAGAAGGTCATTTGGATTCAACTCACTCATCACAGGTTAGAAATTCTGTGGCCAAAAGTGGACGTGGGACTGGCATCAGCTGAGCAATTTTTAGCTTTATGGGGTTTTCGTTCTCCAGTAACGTGCAATGCATGAGACCTCCTAACAGCATGGTTGGCAAAGGAGCAGGGAGATGGGGTCTGACACTTGCTAGGACATACCTTTATATAGCTCGAGATAGGACTCAAGCTAAATCATGTGCTCATGCTGTCTCCTGTGGTCCTCAGATTTCTTTCAGAACTGGAAGCCAGAGTGAAGGAGCATCCTGGGGACCCAGGAGCATAATAGGGATTTTAGTTCCTTTTATTTTTTTTTCCTTCTGGTTTTGTCTTGTTTAATCGTGTGACTCTTAACACAGTGATGATATTCCTTTGTTATGCAACGGACGATAATGCACTTCCAGTGTGTGGATACATCAGATTTGTCAGTGCTGCAGGAGGGCTCCTCAAGCTGGAGCTAAGCCGATCTCAAGAATTAGGTTAATTTTAAGCACTTAAGTTGTTGCTGCCATCACTACCATGTATAATGAAAGTGGAACCAGTTTGAGGAGTCAGCAATTTAGGTGGTGGCATCTTGTGTCACACTTGAGAGCATTTTAAGTTTTATCTTTTTCTTTTAACTAGAAGAAAACTAGTTTGTTAAGTCTTTGCTTTGGATAAGCCAGAAAATGAATTAAGGAGATAGAGGCATTGCACAGAAACATGATTAAGGGATCTTCCTTTAAAAGCAGGAAGAGACGGATGCTTATTTTATACAGAGCTGGAAGCGTTACAGCCGTGTTGCGTAAATGTTACTCTTCTGCCTAAAGTCGAGCAGCTTCTGATGACCTGATGTCTCAGATCATCAGAAGAGCAAAATCCTGTTTTTAAGCATCAGTATCTCTTAAAGCTGCATAATCTGTAACTAAGATTTTTGTTGTGTGGAGTTCAAATGGGCATTACTGTTTTCAGGTCTGACAAAGGCATACAGTTAGAGCTTCTCACCAATTCCTGAAGCCTATGTTGAGACATCAGTTTCCCTGCTTAAAACTGGGCTGAAATCAATTCAAGTTTTCTTTAGAAGGATAATGAAGCAGAAGATTTTTGTTTACTTTAAAGCTTCTTTAATCTAGCCCAATGTATTAGACATTTCTTTCTAGAAGCAGAGCAAGAAGGGAAAAATGTGCTAAGCTGCCTTCTCTTGGCATTTAAAAGTGCACTCTTGGTTACCTGCTGTGTGTACGTGAAGTCCTGGAGTCAGACAGCTCTTGGGGCTCACCCTCTGGAGACAAGGCATCATGCCATGGGCCTGCCAACCCACTGGGCATAAGCACTGGTAGGTGTTCTTGGAGAGAATGAGTGCAACACTGTGCTGTGTTTTAGGGTTTTATGTTCCTGGCTGAAAAAAGAACAGAATTGCCTTTTTTTGTCCATTGAAAATCATGTCGTTGTTGTTGAGGCTTCCTGGATATTTTAAAACTAAGCTAAACCTCCTATACTGTTTTTTAGAAATGCACTTTAAGTACCTTTTCAAAGAAGATTCCTGTACTCTGGGATGCAGAAGGGAAAGGAATACTATTTCCAGCCCACTAAGAAAGGGGTTTTTTTGGTCAGTGTCCAATAGTCCTTATTACTGATTCACAAGGTATTTCAAAGCAAAGACTTCACTTTTTGCTGCTTGTACCTAATTTACAGGGATTTAATTTTATGTAATGTATTGTATATTTATACATCTGTAATTAATTGCACATTAGAAAACAGGATTAGCTTTGGTATAACACCCATTGGTACTATACAATCAACTAATACTGCCTATGTCTATGCATCTTTCTGGTACTCTTGCACAGCCTTAGTTTGTGTTAGTTTATACCATGGTGGGTGTTTCTGTTGAAGATGCAGCTGTGAACGTGCTGCTGGAAGGAAGGACACTGCTGCTGGAAGGAAGGATACCACTGCTGCTCTGGTTTGCTGAATGTACTTCAGAATGGGTCTCTAACGTGTGCGTTGCATCTCTCCATTGTAGTTAACCCCAATATGTGGTCTGAACTATACTGTATGTAGCAGGAATAAAAATTGTTTAAAAACATCAGCTGTTCAAGAACAGGATTGACTTATTTTTTGTTCAGAAGGCCATTTATGCGTTCTAAGTATTTGAAATCAAAACTAGTCCAACCCTAACCAGATGGTTGTGTCCAATGTTATTTGGAATGGTTTTTAACTCGACAGGATCAGCTGTGTATTCAGAAAACTGAGGGTGTGGAGGTCGTAAGTCTTCAATTCTTGATGTTGCCAAGTTATTGGCCTGATCCTGAGCAGCACTGAACTACCTCTTGCCTGCCCTGAAACCAGGCGCTAGAAGCAGAGGGAGTCTTGAATGCTCAGCACTTCCCAGGATCAGGTCTTAATTTTCCACTCTGCTTGTTCATACTTCATGTGCAGTTGATTAAGGTTCTTGCATTTGGACATTAGCCGTGCTGTTGCACTGACATACACACTTTTAATTGCAGTCCTCATTCCCCTGTTTGATCTCTCTGTACACAAGGTATACAAGGGATATGCTGTGTAAGTGGCCTTCTTGAACAAAGCTCTTTGCAAACTGATTTCATCCCAGCGAAGGAGTGTATCAGCAACACTGTACATTAATTTCAGGTTTTCATTTTCTTATTTTATTTTGTAAATATATCCGAGATTTGGAGCTTGAGTATACAAAATGTAAATACAGTTCATGTATTTGTACTAATTCTGATCCATTTGCTGTATAGCCTTAGGTGTGCAATGCAGATATCTAACTGTGTATGGTAACCTTGCACCACTGAATTGTTAGTGAACGAGGTGAAACAATAAAGGTACAACCAGTGCATTAGCAGATACAACGTGTGCTCCTTTTATTGTGACTTCATTACTAGTATCTTGCATTGAGGAGTTGTTTTCAACACCAGTCCTGAACAAGCTTAGGCTTTTGTGAGAAGACATTTCTCTTGGCTGTTGATGAGAAAGATGAGAGGCCTTTATTGTTCCTCATCCTCTTCCCTTTGTGTTATGCAGAAGTTTGGATGCTTTCAAAAGCTTCTTTTGCTTGAAAGATAAAC